TTATTGAGTAAAATTTTTGTTTAGTTAATGTGTAAATGTATAACTTTTGTTTATTATAATGCTGTATTAGTTTGGCTACCTAAGAAATCTCATTTCTAGTTATACAGCTCAGTGGCAATATTTCCCTGAATATCAATAATCTTTTTTCTCATCCTAATGTAATTGTTTTTTTTTCTCTTATCAGATTGACATCATCAGTCACAGTTTTGCTCAGGAGTGGATGACAGACTTTGAAGCTTTTCAAAATGCACTGGAACATGAAACATCTTATGTATCCAACCTGACCAGGTCAATGAGTTTGGTCTTGGATGAGTTCTACATGACCATAAAAGTATGTAAAGTCAGCCTGCTTTAGTGTTGTTTCTTCTTCCCCCTCCCCTCTGCTCTACAGGCCAACATATGTACATGCACATCGACTCTTTTGCTTTATATACCTTAGTACAAACAAAACACTTTTTCATTCCAAAGGGACAATATTGATATTTTTTTATTGGCATTGTTTGTGTGGCTGTTTTGATGATTATTCAAGACTAGATAGCCCTGGGCAATGCTTATTAGTCTCAACTTGGTGCTCAGGTGGAAACAGTTGTTAGAGGATATGATTTGTCCATTAGTGAAGCAAAATTTGAAGCCCTATTGTGGTGCCTAAGGATCAAGCCCTTTGCACTGACAGGGAAGGAAGAAAGCCCGCACAAACATTGGGCTGATGTGGTACAGAGAAGGAAAATGGGAGATTTTCCCCCTGTGTGTTTGGCCTTTGGCTTTGCTTCTGACACAAGTATCTTTGAATACAAGCCATCTGTAACGAGGATGTAAAAATTTGGATCTTTCCTAGACATAAGTTTGTTCAGATGGATGCAAGCTTCTATAAGTCTTGAGTTTTAAGAGTCTTAGACTCAACTCTTAGGACAATTATGAAGACCAGGCTGCCATCAAGCGACACAGTTTAAAATGTATTTCAAATGTAGTGAGTTGCAGAAAAATAAATGATTAAGTAATCTTGTCTGGGAAAGAATTAATGGAACTTGCAATGTTTTTATAAAATTATTTTTTTAGGGCTGCTAGACCAGTCCAATCCTTATTGCTATCTTCTCATATCAGTATCATATTTAATGTGAAAATAAAATCTCTCTACAGAGTGTTGGAGTGTCTGCTACCACTGGTGAAGGTTTTGATGACTTTTTATCTAAAATTGATGATGCTACAGTTGAATATGACAAGTAATTTAGTTTAACTAAATTCTTATAGTTTATTTAGTTTAGGAGTTGGTGTTAGTATTCAATCTTAAAGTCATAGGTTTAAATCCTCATGGTGGGGGCTATTTGTTACTGCAATATTAATGTCTAACTGGGCGCCAAGGTCACAATAACTTTGTTACTGACTTTCACATCCAATGATCCTTGAAGTCAACTTCATAGCCCTTCTAAACTCATTGTCCTTGTGGCATTTAATGTCTCAAGAGACAATCTTTTCCCTTTACAAATTCTTGTGTGACTAAAAAAGCCAATCCTTGATATACAGCTGCTGCCATAGGTTGGGCATATGTAATCACCAATTGGCTGTTGCACTTTCACCCTTCTCTCTACTTCTGGTGTGTATGACATCTGTAATCCGGGACCTTTCCTTTATGCTCCTTCTCCATTGTCCTTTACCCAAACTTTGATTTTGAAGAGCTTCATGTTGCATTTGCATACATACTCATTGTATAAATGGGAAAATAAGAGGGAGGGTTTGTTTAGTAAATTATTATCTGCCCCTTAAGTGCTCTCATGAAAGTGGTCATGGATTAATTTAGAATTTGACATTGTTTTCAGAGAATACAGACCTATGTATGAAAAACTGAGATCAGAGAAAACTCACAAGGAAGAGGCAGAGAAACAAAAACAAAGAGAATCTTTCTATAAGGATCATTTTGGTGGCGATATTCCAGTGAAAAGTGGTAAATGAAGCACCTTAATAAATATTTTACACATTAGACTACAAATTGTTCTAATCTAGTCCAGAACAAAGAGCATATAAAAGTGTCAGTATTAAGTAGTCTACCTCAGAAATCAGGACAAAGTTTTTTCTTTTGTTTCAGTATGATAAACATTTTAACCATTAATATTTTGAACATCTAGAAAATGTTGGGAAAGTTTAACTTACAATAAAATAGATAATTTTTGTAAATTATTGTAAAAAAAAAAAAAAAGAGTCCCTTCTGTGCAGTTTATATTTTAAATGAAATAATCAGTCCATGTTTCTTGCTTTCAGCTTTTTTTTTTAATCGTTTTATGTTTTTACCTATAAATAAGTGAAAGTTAAGTTGCATTGCTTTGCTTTATTTAAGGGGTTGGGGGCTATTTCATGTGCTTAACAAATTCTATGAAGCAGTCATTGGATTTCTAGCATGTATGAATTCCAGTGTTCCCATTTAATTATGTAGTATTGAAAAGCAATTGTTGATTACTGGTTCAATTGCTGGAGTATGTGCTACATTACAAGATGATATGTTCTTCATATAACATAGTAAGTTAAAATCTTATTATATGACTTTTACTATACAGCTGACCACTTTGTTTATGATCATCATTCATTGATAAGCCAAATATAGTTTAGTGCTAACAAAATTCAAGCAGGTTTTTTTTGGTTCGAATAAGCATTTATTCTGAATAACCTTAGGGTTCAATTAATCAGATTCCACTACCATAAGGCCATTCTAGAAAACAAAATTTGATTTTTGTTTTTACATAAAAACTGTAGAAACAATTTTGAATATTTAAGTTAATTGTTTAAATTTAAATTTTAAATATTTAAACAAAACAATGTCATGGTGGTTTGTTTTTTTATTATTAAGATTTGTTAGAGTCAGTCTCAACAAGAGTTGTCTTAGAACAGCCAACAGAAGAGGGCAGTGATGAAGAGGAGCTCACTCAGAACACAGGTGAGATTTTATTCCAAATATTCAAAACATTAAGGACATAAACCTCACATAGCTATTGCTATAAGTCCCAAAGTTATTCACAAGAGTTCTTGAAACAGCAATAAAAGGGTGGGAGGTGCATTCTTAATCTTTTTTTTTTATTTTGTTCATGAATTTTTCAGTAACTTTAAAATTGAGTTGAAATGATGATTGTAGTTGAAGAATTACTATATTTAATCAGGAGTTTCAGTGCAAGTCAGACAACTTTGTGGAAACCACCTAGAAGCTGTTTTAATAAGATTTAACAAGAAGAAACAAGTAAATCAAAATGTAAAACTGAAAAATAAATACTTGGGATTCCTTATACTGCTATTGCTCTGGGTCTCTTATTGTCATGATGAATTGTATATATGCAAGATGAAATATTGAGATGGAACAGTATATAAAATCTTTGTCATTGAATCTTCATGTAATTTGGTCATGGAAAACATGATACAAATATTGCCATTCATTCACTGATACTATAAATAATAATAATATATTAGCCTACCCTGCTTTTTCACGGTAAATAAAACAATAAATTTTGATTGTCACTTTCAGATGATGCTAACACACTGGAAGAAGAATCTTTCAGGCGGTACTTGGATGCCAGGAGACAACAGCAGTCAAAAAAAGTGATCAAAAAAGATTCTCAAAGCTAGTGAAGGCTGTGTAAATGACTGTGAATGAGTGATAATATATGAATGTATGTTTGAATGTCTGAGATGTAAAGGTGACTATATTGAGTGCTTTCACATAATATTCATGTACAATGCTAGAACATGAGAATATAACTCTAGGTTATATTATGGAAATTGTTATGCTATTGAAGGGCTATAGCTTGATTGCTCAGCACAATAACCAGCTATCTGTAATTTTGTTATGAGATGTTTAGGTATATAAAGTTAGGATCATTTTTTTTGTTATGCTAATAATGTTTTGAACCCCTAGGAATACACATAAATCTAAGTCTTCTACCACTTTAGTTACTTACTCACATAAATTATAAGGATGTTTGTTACCTTCTAATTTTCCGTAATAGTAACGCTAATAAGCAATCGTTTTTCAGCAAATATTTAGATTCAGATTTAACTTTTAAATGTGTTAAGGCAATGATTCGTTATTAAAATATATTACTATAGTATTGCTTGTCATCCAGAAAGCAGGAGTCAAGTATTAAAGCTTTTATTTTTTTTTAAATAATGTAATAGTAATTTAATAGAATTTAGAATTCAAGTTTATTTAGTTTATTTCATTTGTCGGTTTCTGCTTATTTAACTAAATAGTTGTGTAGCTTTATAAACTCAAAATGATCTAAACTCATTTTAAAACATTTATTGCTTTGAATGATTTGGGGATTTCTTAAATATGTTCTCTGATAAAAGCCACCACACTGTTTTTTTTATATTTTTTATTTTATCTGATTAACATTGATAGTTCATTTTTTTTTTTTACTGATTAAGAGGGATTCATTTATTACCTTCTGTAACTAATGTTGTTTGTATTGTTAGACTAGGCACTTGAACAAATCCTTGACAGTAATGCTATAGTCATTTTAGTTGATTTTGATTTTTTTGCAGTTTAGACCATGTCGTGCCCTCAGTCATTTTAGACTCGTGTAATGACAAATAGTATAAGAGAATTGTTGGTGATGATAAAGTTTCAATAGTTCGCCCATAAAAAAAAAAAGAGGCGTTCAGTTGTTGTTTTTTTTTCAATTGCTTTTATACAGAGCATCTTTCATGCTTATGGCTTGCTCAGTACACTACGGAAAACATGACTCTGCTTGAGTCAGGATTTAAACTCCAGCCCCCTTGTTTTGTGTCCAAGCCGTAGTTAAGGTGTTTTGGCATCTCAGCCGCACATTGCATTTATTTATAGAAAGTTTCTGAAAAAAAAAAAAGGAACTGTTTTAGTTTACAATAAAAAATGTTCTTCAGTTTTTATTTTTAGTCATTTCCAATGTGAACTCTAACGTTTCTATGTAGATAGATGTGTAGTCTTGACAGATGACGTTTTTTGTCATGAGTAGGTTGGGATTAATTGAGCTTTCCATTATCTTGTTTGTCTAAGCAATCTGCTATTGAATTACTTTCTCTTCAGAAACAGAAATTATGATGATAGCCTTAGTGTGGTGCTAAATTTGGGGCAAAGCTAATAAATGTTTAGCAAGATGATGTTATCTTCCATGGAGTTTTGATTCAATTAGAATATGCTTTGTTTTTAGCTTTGAAGTGTTTAGATTCTGATATTTGTAAGAAGTTATTTTAAAAGTGTCTTTTATGTAAATAAAATGAGGATCCTAAACAATACTTTTCTTTTTCACTTTGGTTTCTTTTGGAAATTCCCAAAATATTTTTGCCACTATGACTTTCAACACAATCACCAGTTTTATATTTTTCCAGCATATAAAAGGTCCTTCTGAAATCCAGATTTCAGAATCTATCAATAAGTCTTATGTCAATGTGAAAATAAAGGCTAAGTGGCAGGAACATGCCAGGAGATTGATATATCTAAATATCAACCAAGGGGAAAGCGCTCGCATTGTTTGACAACACAAAAGATGTTTGTTGGATAGATAAATGGAAAAAGTGCTTAAATTGTATACGAATGTCTAAGATTCACACTGACGTGTGGAGGATATTTAGGTACATCAATGTCACTGAGGGAACCCAGTCATACAAATTTTTTGTTTTCTGGTGCTTACATTGTTGTAAATCTAGCGCACTTAACGAAAGAGATTCATGGTGGAAGAAGTTATTTATTCACTGGATGATCCACTTATCCCGTATGGGGAACGAACGTATGCCAAGGGCTGTCTTTTTGAAGTTTTATCATCTTTTTTGGTGAGCAGAAAGGTGGCTTAAATAACAGAGGTGCCCCACGGAAACGCTTTAAAGAGCAGCTTTTTTTGGTGAGCTGAAAGGTGGTCAACGTAACCGAGGGGCCCCACGGAAACGCTTCAAAGACCAGCTTAAGCGCCAACTTGCTTTAACTGACATAGAAAAGAGCACCTGGTTGCAGGCAGCTTCAGAACGAGACAGCTTGAGGTCACTTACAAAGGCCACGGGATACACACACTTGAGACCAAAATAAAATCCGCTGCCGAGGACAGACGCAGACGGTGAAAAGAAAATCTAAATCGACCACAGGCGGACAATGGTTATGTCTGCGCTGAGTGTGGCAAAATATGTAGATCACAGCTGGGGCTGCGTAGCCAAGGGAAATACTGCATTCCTCATTAATCTTCGGACAAGCCATATAGGCAGGCATGTAGGATGTAGGCTATATGATCATTCCTTTTTCCTACAATAATATTACAGAGCTCGGGTTGCTTTTGGTACCATATTAAGGGAGAAAAAAAAAGGTGGGCCAAGTTCGATTCCCATAAATACTCCTCCTGCCAACCATTGCTCTTTGTTGTTGCATTGTTCACGCATTTATTTTAGTACAATTGCACCTTTTTAACCTTCCATTGAACATAAGTGCGCTTTTTTGTTATGAGGACTGCATAATTGATTTAATTTATTGTACGATCAAAAATGATTTAGATTTAGATCTAATTGTTCCTTAAAATTTATTTAAATTAAGGACACATAAATATAATAAACAGAAAGGCTTGAGTTAGCCTAACAGACGACAGATCTCTCTCTCTCTCTCTATATATATACTTCAGTAGGCATAGACATCTGACAAATTTTAAAATAGGTCAGTATAACTTTAGGCTTAGGCAGCCAAACCTGTAAACCTGTATAGAGTCTTTCTCTCTCTAATATATAGATATTATAATATACCTATCTAGATCTATAAATGACAAAATAAAACTAAATATGTAGAGAATGGACTAAGTTGCTAATAGAGATATGGTTGTACTACTGTCTGTTCCATTGAATATATACAAGGGCCAAAAACTGAATTTTTGGGGGAGAGACGTAGCCTATCATTAAAAGTAGTATATGTGTGTGTTTGGAAGCATATTATAATGTAGGCAGATAAAAAGTCTAGAACTGATGGGCCTAAGAAGTGTCTGGGCATATTCCAGGATAGGGGTTTGTGGGCCGTTCGACTGAAGGATGAAAGAGACAAACATAAAAGGGACTTTCTCTATAGAATTTTGATGGCTAGAAAACTGATGGGCCTAATTAGTTTGTTAATACTCTTTAATAGGGGGTTGCGGGCCCTTCGTTTCTAGAAATAAAAAGACAAAAAAAACAACAAACAACAACATAGAAATTGAAAGCTACTAAATTGTGTTGGGAATAGGGAGCGTTGTAATGCTGGCCATTTTATAGGGGGGGGGGGGGGAGGGTAAGAGTGTTCCGGGTAAAATAAACATACATAGGCCTACCATGTCCATGGATGACTAGTGGAAACTAGGTAGATCTGTATTTCGAATACGGCTTAACAAATTTTCCTAGATATTCTACAGTATTAGTATTATTATATCTTTGGGGGGAAAATTATTACCTAATTGGCAACACAGTGAGAATTCTGGTTTAGTTGCTTTTTTTTTCTTCAAAATATAGTTATGTTAAAATTAAATTTTGCTTACATCTTTTTTTTTTAAACGAATTTAAACATAATTCCAGTCCATGTTTTATTGTATTCAGTTAAGGGTTGAATCGAGACCATTCGTTATAGTCGGCCTGACGACTGACAACCAATAGTCTGTTGCAACGTCACAAGTCGTGACGTCCTAAGCTATTGGTCTAAGCTGCCCACATGTTGCGTGCGACGTCGTGAATCAGTTGTCAGGCTTACTATACCGATTGGTCTCGATTGAATCATGGAATGAATAGGCGTAGGCCTACATGAACATTTCGAGCGCCGTCTATGTAGACATAAAGTTCCATTTCACATGCCTATGTATAAGCATTAGCTGGACTGTTAATATATAATCTTGATTGTGCATAGCTTAGTTGAAAGACTCCTTGCAATAATGAAGCATTAGAAGAAATAAATAGAATGAAAAATTATAGACCATCATCAGGTTTTTCTTCTTCTTTCTAATTGTCACAAGAGTTGAGTCTAAGACTCTTACAACTCTAGGCCTATGTGAGATTGCCTCCATCTGTCTGACTGAACAAACTTCTGTCTGGGAAAGATGTAAATTATTAATTATTACATCCCTATTACCGATGGCTCATATCGCAAGGCTCTCTGATTGAAAAAACGAGGCCAAAGGCCGAGCACACCAGGGCAACTCCCCCATATACATTCTCTGTACCACATCAGCCGTGCAGGTGTCCGCCATAAGAACGGTCATTTGAGGAACGGTGTGCAGATAGTGATATGTTTGTTGGGGCTTTCTTCCATCCCCGCCAGTGCAATAGACTAGGTCCTTAGGCACCCCAACCGGGTGGAAGGGGTTCTTTTTTTTTCTTCCCTATAGGCCCAATCGTATCCTTTAATGACCGTTTCCACGTTGAGGCTGAGAGGCCTTGCTCGTGATCATCAGGTTCAAAAAGAAGGAATTGATAAAAAAAAACTTTTTTTTTCATTTTATTTGTTATCTTGGGGATTACCCCAGAGCTTTCAATTGACAATATGCATAACTAAGTCTAGTTATTTCCACCAAAACACAAAACAACTGGAAATTTTAATGGTTTCCCAGGCTTAACTGACGAAGATTCATTCAAGATATGGACGAATTTCTCAAACACAAAGGTTTGCCTGAGAAAGGAAAACGAGGCCTAATGGAGATGGTCAGTAAGAACGATGAGTCTAGCAGCAAGATTAACGAAGGGAATTCTCGGCCGCACCTTAACACAAGGTGCTCGCTAACAATACTGTCCCCTTATGAAGAGGCCTTAAAACGGAACATAAAAACAAAGCTGTTGAACAATAGGGTTCACGTTCCTTGGTATCGAGCGTAAGTATTTTATTTAAATAATAATTTAAAAATCGGTCCCAGAAAGTGGTCCACCCAGGCAAGTAAAAAGGCAGGTTTCAATATTTCAGAAAGAATATCAGAATGAAATTCTATCAAACGCAAATGACAGAGTAGAATGGAGAAAGAAGGTTGACAGACCTTGTGTTGTGCCCCAAACGGTCCAGCAGACCAAGGGATAGGTGAAGGTGATGTTAGATGTGAACCTGGCCTAACTGATGTCATATAATGATTATCTTATTGATCTCTTTGTTTTGTATAGGGTAAATCTCATGAGGTAAAGCCTCATCAAAAAAACAACAAAAAACAACAACGTTTGTTACATGTCTGCGATGGGGAGTGTCCAGCCGATATCTACGTAATGATATGCAAAACTAACCTATTCATTGTTGTTTTAAATTATTTTCCACTTCTATACATATTAAATAGATGTTTTCTCTTTGAAAAAATAGCAACCATTTTTTTTGTTGTAAATATGGTAGTTAGTATGACAGAACTTACATAACTTAGCAATAAGCAATACATTTGTAGAAAAATAAGTTTTTGACTATAAATCAAAAATCGTTTGCATAAATGTGTTGAAAATATGGTAATTGACCCTCCCCCTTACTAACTAGCCTCCTGTGTTTGTTACTATTAATAGTGAATAGTTGTAAAAATGGTGTAGGCCTATTTTTATGAAAAAACTGCTTGCATAGTTGATTTTAAAAATTAAAATTTTCACTTTTAGAAAAGAAAAAAAGTAGCCGTTGCATCAGAAAGGTCTAAAATATCATGATGTCGGATTTTCAATATCTTCTCTAGTTTACGAGATCTAAACGGATGGGACGACGGACGGACGGACGGAATTCCACACATTACTAATAGGTCTTTGTCTCTTTGGGGCCGATAACAACATATATATGACATTATTTTTTCTTTTTAAAGTTTTACACTTAAATCTTTTTAATATTTTTATATATACAATATATACCTATATCCTTTTTTAAACTCTGGAAGCGCTGTTGATGTATGGCACGAATAACAACAGCCATACCTGTAATTAGTTACATAACTTCTGTAGGGTGATCGCGAAGTGAACACATCTTTACAGTATTTGCATTTAATGTAATTAAAGTCATTTAAAAACTATTACTACATAATGTGATAAAAGCTAGAGAACAATCCATTTAATTTGTTTCAGATACAAATTTGATAGTCCTCAAGACGCTGTCTCTGACTACCAGCCTTTTGATGAGATACAGAGACAGGATGAAGGTAGAGAAAGAATTATCCCCCTTGTTTAATTTTATTAATGGTAGCAAGTGTCCGATTTATTTTGAGAGTTTGTATTGTTCGGGCAATCAATTAGTTCAATTTATTTTGAGAGTTTGTATTGTTCGGACAATCAATTAGTCCAATTTATTTTGAGAGTTTGTATTG